TTCGCATGCAGAAAAGGGCCCACAAAGCTAAAGGACACTTCAATATATGGCACCAAGCTACAGATAGTGGGAGAAGGTAAATTCAATACTGCCGCCTTTGGTTGGAACATTCTGTATGAAAATTAGTATTGTTAAAAGGCGATTTAGAGAGACTAATTACACCAGTCCTGCTTTGCAGGAGGTATATCTAATCTTATGTGTAAACAAAACGGACAAACACACTGTATATATCAATTGTTTCCTTCAACAAACAGCTATGGATGGTTATAATCCCTTATTTCCTATATTAATTTCTTGCGCCCATGTAATATTTAAATTCAAATAAAATAGAAATCAGGATACTACAAAATGAAAGACAAACATTACCTTAAAGCCAAGTTCTCCTGGATTTTCTGGATCAAAGTCGTACAACGCGGTACAACATGGAGTCCGTGATATAGGCGTTCGTGCAGGTGATTTCATGGGGGACGGCAATGGTGAGGCTAAAAAATGAAATTGTTACCAAAAGCTATAAAATCAAATAGATAACGGATACAGGTGCGCCTATCTACGCATACAAGCCAACGTTCACAAGGCATACACAAAGAGCTACAATAAGAACGTAAGCACATGAGAAAAAGAGAGTTACCATTCGCGGAGTGTTGCCCAGGACGTAAATCTAGTTGCACCTGAGGCTTATGTTGCGGTGAAGACACCTGGGAAGAGCCTAACAAGACATCTGCATCAGAACAACAACCAAAGCAATTCAGAAACCCTTCACCACGTTTGGCACATGCAAACATTTTACACAAAATTTACAAACATACTTTACACCTCGGAAAACTATTTCATCAGTCATAACTCTCTGTCACGGCCAGACTAAATTTAAAATAGACTGGCACACTTCCAAATGATTCACCTCGTGTGAAAATTATTACATCAAAGCTAAACTCATCTACACAAATAACAATGTAATTTGAGATAGTCACGTAGAATATTGGCGATTGTTACGTGCATACAGGTTAAGAGTTAGAAAGGATGTGGATTACCAAGGAAATGGGTAAAAAATAAATGAACCTTAACCAATAGAATGCTACTTACCCCCCAATCCCATTATACAATTAATAAATAATTAACAATAAATAAATCGAATGGGTAAAATAAAAAAAATAAATAAAATACCTGTTACGGAACTCCAAGGGTCAAAAGGGTCAGGTCTGGTATATTGAGGAATTTGTTTGGGTAAAGGTCTCGGACGTTGCTTTAGATTATTATGTGTGATTGATAGAGAATTGTGATGATTTGTACCATTTACTCCATCCGATACACCTTCTATATTCAAATCACCCAACGTTTTCGGAACGAACTCCATTTTCGGACGATTTGCCGCCTCGTCCTTCCTAAAAATAACAGAAAAATATGTAAATATTTGTCCAGTACTGTCTACTAGTGATGCGCAAGACATTCGGCAAGGTCTGTGTCCGTATCCGTCATTTTTTGAAGGATCTTAAATAGATCTTTTTCATTTTCCAGTTCTATTTGCTCTCTTTGCTAGGAAGCATAAAATTGCATAAACGTTTTTGACCTTTTTGCGTACAGAAGATTGGTTTTACATATACAGCACACAGATCTGTCTGAAATGCACTTTGACCTTGTTTTGATCCACAAAGCAAAGCCCCCAAAATAATGGATGTGAAGTTATTTTGATAGTTACAGGAACCATGGCACTTAGTTATTCAATACTTGTACTTGGTCCAGACTTTGATATGAATTATAGGAAGAAGGGTAATGGTAATACTATCATTGTGTAAAACTGTAAATTATTACACATGTGAACCTACACTGTAGTATCTCGATTTAATGGACAACCCTAATTATGTGCAAATTCCTTGCGTTCATCGTTTTTTTATTTGATTTGATTGCTCATTTAGCAAGTTTAGTTCGAAATAATGTTTTGTTAAAGTTATCTCACTTAAATCCGGTCATTGGGATAAGAAAACACAGATGTTTAATTTCGAAGACGCAAAATCAAGTAGAAGAGCGCCGAAAACTGAATGAAGGAAGAATTTAAATAGCAGACGAAGACGTGGTGGCGGTGCCGTTAATCGTTTTTTGGTTTGGTTACTCTAACCAATTTATAACATAGTCTGTAGTATAATATTTACACCTGTGACACTATTTTCTAAGATAGTAAAATGACATGTTGCCTACCTATCTTCTGTACGATTTATTTAATGCAACCAGTCATACTTATGTGTATAAGATACCCTAAAAAGTCTACTAAAATATGTAACTTGGGGCATTTCTTAAATTAATATTAAATATATGAATATAATACTTACTTGACTAATAAAGTTTCTGTTAGGCTTCTAAGTACCTCAGTACACTGACTGTGGTAATCTAATAAACCTTCAGCAAACGTTGCTAACTGTGAAATTTGTTCTACCTGCGAATAATAAGTTTTAACAACGAGCAACCCGGCACTCTGACGGATACTTACATCATTTTCTAATAAATTAAACATTCCCATTTGAGCTAAGTGGAGAGATTCTGCGAATTTATCTTCGGACATTTTGATTTCTTCATCTGTAATATGTGAACCTGTTTCATAAGTTCTATATCAGTAAACTAAAAACAAAATCTAAAAACCACGGAAAAACAAAAACTAATCATTTGAAACGAAAGAAATGTGACATAACTGTATTTTACATGGTAATGGTAAACACACTAGCAATAAAACGTCTTCAGGCACTACTCATTTGTTGGTCAAGAACAGCTTTAGGAATACTTTACTATGAATGATTGGAAGCAAAACTACAAAAAGGAATTCTGAGAAAATGGTGTAATCACATACCAGAAGACCGCCTTTGTGTTCTAATTGGACTAGAATAGGGACTTGGAGTCTTAGAAGCTATAAAATGTTTACATTTACAATAATGTTTTACATCCTGAAATCGTGTAAAGAGTAGGTGTAGATCTGACAATTAACTATGTTATCTTTTACATGATTTCATTGCTCATACATCTTTGCCGATATTAGTTATGGTAAATTGAATAGTACTGGTGCCTTTAAAATTAATAGATGTGCAACAAACGGCCAATTCTTTAGTGAATCTGTCAGCAGTTGACAATTAAACGCGTAAGATAAAACTGTGTTTGTGGTTGTTTGTTAAATATGTAAACAAAAATTGAGTGGTAGAGAAAACAAACATCTTTTTTCAAATAAACCGAGGCTCCAAAATGCTTCATCTGAGATCTACCCAATCTCCCAAAATATGACGTTTCCAAGGAGGTAAATACAAGACATGTGGTGCACATGGTTTTCCAAAATATTCTTTAGATACTTTACATATCCCATTTGCCCTATTACAACAACTTTGGAGTTGTAGGCGAATATATTGACTTTCGACTTAATAAGACACGGTACAGTTGCCGGTGCAACGCCTCTTTGGCTCTGGGTTTGTCTCCTCATTGCAACTTCCAAAAAGGTTTTAATACTAGCTGTCCCACCTCACTCTATTACGGAATCTTTTATATCTAACCTCTAGCGCAATCTCACTTCACGCAGGGGTAAGTACCTTTCTCCCTACTCCAAAGATAATACTACACTAGATAGACACAGTAAATGGAAGTGTTAAATGATGGAAAAAAAATCCAAAACGAACAATACGTGAATAACTAAATATTTTTTTAAATATCAAGCAAGTCACACCTGGCTGCCAGCCTGTGTTTGAAAAAGGCATTTGTTAATTAGCTACTAAAACAATCAAATATTTTTAATCAAAGCACAGTAGAAAATAATAATAATATTTTAAAAAAAACCATGTGACATTATTAACCGCCCCTAAAGGTAAGGGGTTTATAAAGAAATCTACAATGTGTAAAAAAAAGACTTTTTGTGACAGGGCTATGAGAACCTTTTTGTAGCCATTAACGTCTTCTTTTCCAAATCCGTCCAAAATCTGGTGGCGAGGGTTAGCTAAGAAAATTAGGTTTCTAGTTGGCGCCTGTTCATCATGTTAAATTAGCATTCTTGAAAACTATCTAATGTAAGAGCAAACTTTATACGTATAGTAACTCCAATACTGATTTTGGAAAATTTGATAACAAATTCCAAAAAAATCAGAATTTTTTTTACAATTCCGCTTAGAAAAATACATTTGCAAAGGGTATACTTAAAAGTCTTCTAAGTATATGCTGAGAAACAAGAATCATCTCCCAAACGATACATTTTGGACACTCAAGTTTATTTTTTTTTAATATTAAGCACCTTTGTTCATTCTTTAAACGTTCATTGTGACACCATTAAAGAAACTGAGGGTTTGCTGGTGAGTGTTTGTGTTTGTTTTGGATCGAAACTTAACAAAAGAACTGTATAATGTCACCAAGTGGCTACATACCTTTTGCTTGTCTTCTTCTTTTGCAATCAAAATCTAGCCTACGCCCTTGCAGTTTTTTCCGATGGTGCTAAAATGAATTGTTAGTAACAATCTCATTCCTAATTACAAAACAAGTTGACTTAGTGAATAGCAAAGGCAATGTGAATGAATTCACCGAGAAGCAAACAACTTCCAAAAAAGTGTACACCATATTTAAAATATTTGATATTTAACGGTATTTGTAAGTAATTAACGTGTATTTGTAGGACTTAAAATATTTGAAAAGTAATCAAGCATTTAATAAGTAATCAGAACATTTTCAATAGAATCAAAATATTTAATAAATAATCATAGATAATTAAAATACTCGAAAGTAGTAATTTAAGTAATTGAGATGTACTTGAATATATTTGAAGTAATTAAGAAGTATTTGGAGATACTCTATATATTTGATAAACGTCACTTTTTGAATCATTCCTTTTCGCTATCCACTTCTCGTTTCACTGGAAAGGATGCCAACTTTCAATTCAAGTGGAGGACTATTATACCATATTGTACTATAATTGGTTAGGCATATCCATTGTGAACGAGTTCAAAGTATCACTTTGAACTGTCACACTCAGTGGGCCCTTTGGAAAATGCTAATAGCATTAGTATCTTCCTACTAAAAAAATCCTAAGTAGGTATATAGTTTATCGAGTATTGTATGGTGGTTTCTACGCATGAAAATTAATAAGAAAAAGTGATTTCCTGAGAAATTTTGGTGCAGTCGATTTTTGGTAAAAAAGGAAGGTTATACACTGCCTTTTTTTGAGCCCCGAAAAAAAAATTGTCTCAGATCGACCCGGAAAAAAAAATTTCTTATAGAATGTGGCCTGTAGAATCCATAATTTCAAACAGTTCCAAGATTGGGCTACTAGTTCAAAAGTTACAGCCCTTTAAATTTTTTTTCGAAATTGGTTTCTAGTCTATAACTTTTGATTGAGAAGTATGATCGAAAAAGTACGAATTGTTTTGGATTCTGTTGGTGGAACCCCCAAAGCAGAATGAGAGGCAGAATGATTTAAAGGTTTCAACAATAATGTCCTCAAACTTTCTCCAAGTAGGTACGCCAGAATGGTGCCTCGCAAAATCAGTTCTGAGTTTTTTAAAAATCACTTTCTTGAAACAAAGTGAACAAACTACAGGCTCTCTGGATTTTGCCAAATTTGTTATTGTCAATGCAGAGAAAAAGCATTACGAACTGCAGTCACTGATCGGCCGGGCGGGGATGTATATTTTTAAACGGTAAAATTGACCCTTCCCCACTTTTTTCAATTTTTTTGGAAAAGCAAAGTTGTACCGCATTTTTCCGAAGGGAAAACGCGTTTGCTATTTATGAATGGGCGGCACAGGCTGACGGGCGTCGAGGTGTGACCTTGGGAGCATAATTTTTTTACATCCAATTGTTTAATCTTTCTGTAGCAATCCTTTTGTTTTTTGCGACGCTATCGCACTTTCGCTCGTTGTTCTGCTTGGGGGGGATAGTGGAAGTAAAAGAAACACATTTCAGCTGAGATTAAGGGAAAGGATTTTACCAGAGCCTACTACTGATTTTACCCATACCTTATGTATTAACATTTTTGACCTTGTTCACTAAGCATTTCAGTACGCAAGCCAACATGACGTGTCAACAACTTGACCTTACCATTATCAAACATGTAATCAAAATACTAAACAAGTAATGAAAGTATTTGAAATTGTAATTGAAAGATTGAAAAAGGAATTAAAATATTGAAAAGATAATTAAAATATTCACAATGTAATCAAAGTACTGGAAATGTATTTGAAGGTAATGAAAAGACTCAAAACATACTCAAAACGTAATTAAAGTATTGAAAAGGTAATCAAGTAATTAAAAATTCCACGTGTACACCATATTTAAGGAGTTATTTGCCCCTCGGAATTCACCAAGTCAACCAGAACTTATTTCATGTAAAACTTGCAATTAAAACAGTCTGGTCTTATAGTTAATGTAGTAATATTCTAACCATAACTTCTTTAAGGTCCTTCGTTTGTAAATGGTGTAAAGGTTCCAAGAAATTTTGTTTGATATTATCGTCCAGCGAATATTTGACGTCCGCCATTTGTTTCAGAGATTCACCCATTTCCACAAGAGCTTGTCCAAACATACTGTCGTCTCCTAATTTTCGACCATATAAAAGCATACAGTCTCCTAGAACACCTTCTGGTTGAGGATACGTGTTCGATTTAGCTTGACCACTAAGTTTGCTTATTCCCTTAACTGCTGCCATTTTAGCTCTCGCCGTCGGATTTGGTTGTAAAAATTCTTTAGTTTTGGTTTGTAACTCTTCCACTAATTCATATGTTACATCGGTTTTCTACAAATCGAAACGGTTCAAAAGTTGTTCGCGATGAAAATTACTCACCCTTTCCATGTCCATAAAGTCCAAATCCAGTTTTGTGCCTTCCGCACCTCCCATTTTTTCAGTGACATACTGAAAATAAATCGCCAAATCAGTTAATTTTGCAAATACAATATTTCAAAGATATCGGGAATTGTAAAAAGGAAACCGGACATATTTAATGACAGTAGTAATGATAACAGATACCACATTATCAAAATGAACAATGTAACGATCTTGTACCAACACACAATTTATCATCGAGTTCATTGTCGGATAGGAAAATCCTAATTTTACTATTCTCAGTAGTCGAAATCCGTTTGTAGTGATAAGGACATGCGAAAATTAGAGCAATTTTTTTTACAACAAGTAGGTACATATGTCACAAAAGTTTGGGCGGCAAATAAACTAAATGTCCAAAAAACGATTTTTGATTAATAGTCAAAATCGCCATCAACTTAAATTTGTTTCCACCAATAAATATTATGTGCCACACTTTTGTCAACGTCATGTATATACGGACTACGAAGGAGCTTATTTTGTGACGAGAAGGTCACATAAACAGAGGTCCGCAAACGCTTCGTTACAGGGTGTTAAAATTCCAAGATTTTCTAAGTTTTATATCTCCTCGAGTTTTTGAGATATTTCGTTCAAATTTAATATAGAAATATAAGTTACGTTAAAGGGCTTACATCATTGATCATAGAAATGGTAGTAAGAATCTACATGGTTTTTTCAAGGGTCATGTTCCTTTTTCTACTCCTTAACTTTTTTTTGGTGCACCACTAGTAGACTATGAAACAAGAATTTGGAAACTTTTTGGTTTCTTGTAAAATTGTAAAGTGTTTGCGGACCTATTTTTATATGAACTTTTAGTCATAAAATATGCCAAAGAATTATCCCCTTACGTAGTTACACCACATTTAGGAACACTCTGTATAATAAATGATTGTATGGAATCACTCAAGACTGCGACTAAATTCCTAAAACTCAATTAAGATGAGTGAGATACATCGGTAAGGTTTTAGACGTTGTCAATACCATGCACTGTTATAATTATATAATTAGTCAATTAACAACGAAAACCTTCAAAGACGATGCTGAAAATATAATGCATCTAAAACAACTTATAGGTATCGACTAGCGCGTTATAAAAGATCAATACCAAGGCAACCGTTCATGTGAAGCAGAACAATATGTATTTCCTTTTACAAGCATTTTGAATGAGCATAAAACCAAAATAAACACGTTTACACAACGAATCAAAAGCACCAAAAGACTTATTTTTGTATTTATGGAAACACGAACTTCATACACGGTAGCAAGTAAATGTTCAAAGCGAATCCCAGTAATAAGGATTTACTACAGTATATAAGCTATCATCTTTCTCGCGCCTGAAAGATATAAGTACATGTTCTAAATGCGTAGACCGACAGACTATTATGTATACTTGCATAAATAATCTATCTTTTGGAAATTCGAAAGTGGCTATACAGATCTATGAATATCTTTTGCAAAAATAAAAGAAAATCTTTAAAAAATCTACCAAAGAAGGTATATGTTGTTGTGCACACAATGTCATGTAGACGTTATTTCGGTCTACTGACGGGACACCCTGTGCATGAGAACATTTCAGTTTGTTTATTACGTGTAAATCTGGAGGATTATCTAGGAATTGTTTGTAGTTGCGTGTTGTTTAATTGGATTTGTGTGAAATTACGTGTTAAAATGTAGGGACATCTGGTCGTTTGCGATAAGAAATTTTGTTATCGGACGAAATTTAATTAACGCACGTGTTCTTATCGCTGTTAGAATTTGCGGAAGTTGATCGACGCCACCGAGTCTCTCGAAATGAGAAGTTTTAAGACAGTATTAGGATTTTCCCGAATGTGTACCAGGAGAGATTATAAGTTTCAATTTTAATTTGTTTTAAGCTAACTGAACAGCTGTTTTATTTTTTTTTATTTTTTTTTTTATTTATTTACGTTCCTGTTTGGGTGCAAAGCACTTACAGTTGTCAAAACAAAAAAGGTTTACAGGTAAAAGTGTATATAACATGACAAGTCAAAAATAAAACAAACAAACAAACAATAATAGGTACATTAACACTAAAGCACACTACCAACTTACATCTGACCTGTTTGTAAGTTTCACATGATCCACAAATTCATATTATTATGGGTATGATCGCACGCCATTGCACACAGAAATGTATAGGTTCCTCTTGGTGCAAGGAAAAAGCATAATACAAGCGCAATTTATAAGAGAAAGATCATCAAAGTTCCAGATAACTGTCGTGCTCTGTTGTACAGGTTTATTTGTTTGACCTTGGTGTGGTCAGTAAAGCGCAATTCAGATGAACTACACAGCGTATTCCGTAATAAATTGAAAACGAGGTCAATGGTTCTGAAATTTGCGTTTTTTCTTTAACTTTTGTCTCGGTGACCGTAACGGATAATAGAAGAACGGATCGGAATCCCTAGGTATTCGAGTTTTCCAAACAAAATTGTAAATACAGAACATCTAAAAACTCCAAAATTATTTATTTATATATTATTGTTATCTATTGGAAATTAGTTTTATCTTTAGTACTCTAATTAAAGGTCTCAACGAAAGGAACTGTTTTCTGCCAAGTACCGCCCTTCTCTCTAACCGCCTATCAAAATGGAGAGGGAGAGACTGGATTTATTCTTCATGGTACTCTAATGAAAGGTCCCGAAGGGAATTGACTTAAAGAGCGTGCTAAATCTCGGGAAATCTGCCCTAGTTGTTTTGTTGAAGATGCAGGTCGTCGGTTTCGAAATAAAGTGTGCAGAAGAAGTTAAGCGATCTTAATAAAAGATTTAAGTTAGCGTCAAGGGAAACGATCTGTCCGTATTCAGAAAAAGTTAGTTCGAGCGTTGATAACCAAAGCACAAGTACAAGTTAAAAGTTCTTCATCTTCATCTTATTTATCAAAATTCAGTTTAATAAAGAAAATGTGAAGTTCCCTGAAGCTGTCATCGAGAGTTTTTAAAAAGTGCCGCTGAATATCGGAAACCCTTTTACGACCAGATTAATTGGATTATTAAAGAGAAAACTGTAGGTAATTTAAGATTCTTTTATCGCCCGTCTGCGTGCGGGGTATTATGTGCAAACAAGCTTTGTAAGGTTTTCTTTCTTGCAGGGATTTTGATCATTTCAGTCGGTATAAATAAAAGTTAAACACTTATTGTAATGACTGAAATGTAAAAGGTAATCGAAACAAAAATTAGTTACTCCCCCTTGTTACACGCAATGTTAATTATTGGAAGATAGCTCTCTTTGCGAATGTTATCTCTTGAAACTGAGCGGGAATTTCAACATGCAGGTATTTTATTATTAGAACAACGTTTCATTAGCGCTATAATTCCACGAAAATGTTTAATAAAGCTTTACATTTTCAGTAATGTGGGCGTACTATACGGGTGCTTTACCTTTGTACAGCACGAGTAATGAAAAAAAAGCCCCTGCACTGTGTCCGACTAAAATTTGATTAAATTCTAAGCACGCGAGCTGTATAATTAATTGAAAGTGCAAAAACCAATTTGGTGTATTAATGAAATTTCCATAGTTACATATAATGCAATAATAAACGGGTCTCGGTGTAGCTAAACTAATAAACTGTCTTATGACCAAAATAACAGAAAAAGTAGGTATATACACTTACCTGATTACATTTGTTTATTTGCTTTTTCAGTCCTGCAAATGCCATATTTATGTCTGAAACAATAATAGAATGTTAACAAAGCGAGAACATCTCTTTACACATGGAATAAATAATAGTAGCGGAATTGTTATTATGTAAGCAGTAATAGTCTAGATCTTGAAAGCAATTGGTATAACAAACCATAATCACTACTAATGCAATTGCCCCTTGTATTACAGGCAGGTGTTTGTCTTTGCTTTGCAAGAGCTCAATGACTCCAACTTTTCTCTTATTTTCTGTGCAAGGATCCAGGGCCGGATCTAGCATGGGGCCATGTGGGCCCGGACCCATAGCGGCAAAAACCAAATTTGGGAAATAATTGTACAGTATTATCGTGGAAAAATAACATAACTTCTTAAAAAAATGAAGTTGGGCACCAACTTAAAAGTAATCACGAAATATGGAGTTAACATTAAATTAAATATAAATTATATGAACTTTACATTAAGATTGTGGAAAATTTAGGGCTTCTCCCGCAATTGTTTGTTGAAAACGCTTAATTAAGGTGATCTGTAGCCATTTTTATCAATTTCATGATCGTACCTGGGGGGGGGGGGCTCAATAACACACAAGGACAAGAGAGGGACAGTAAATAAAAATAGTTATTTGTTTGTAATTCGAATTACAGATATTATACTTTGTTTCAATAACACTATAAATCTCATAATTAATATAAAACATGTTAATTAAATTAATTAAATCTCTGAGCAAATTAGGAGGAAGAAAAATGTATTAAGACTTTTTGTAAAGAGTAAAAAATATTGCATATTTCTGGTTGAGGTAAAAGTGCATTTAATTGGTTGGGGGAGGGGGCGGTGATTTCGAGGGGCGCAATATACAGGGTGGTGACTTGCGTAACGCATCATAGGGATTTCAGTGTAAAATTCGATTATTGGCTCTCCAAATTATTTTAGAAAATTTTTTTCACCAATCAACCGTATTAGTTTTCAATTTTTGCATAATAAAGACGGAAAATTGGAAAAATAAAACCCCCATCTTTTTCAATAAACTGTGATGCCATGGAATTCCCAACCCTTAAAGTTTGGTCGAAATCGGTTCATAATTACGAAAGCTAGAGTGTTTCTTGGAAGTGATATAACCTATAAATATACTGGTACCATTACAATAGGTGGATCTAAATCTACCTAGAAGAAGAAAATGGCTTAGAGATTATACCTACGTTGTTTTTTTTTATCAGTCATCATGCAAAGTACTTAAAAATTATGAACTTTGGTATCATAACAAGATTTCGCATTTGGTTTCTCATCAGATGGCAATTTCTAATTATTAACGAGCTCCTAGCGAGTTCATGCTTTCTGTCCGTTCGTCCGTCTGTGGACAAGATAACTCCCGAACGATTTCGAATTTTCCAATTCTGTTTCAGTATTTTGTTTAACATGACCCAAGGCAGAACTGATTAAATGTTCAGTGACCCAGGAGCTGGTTTGCTATATTTGTTATGAGCTTATTTCTATTTATTAAAATGAAAGTGCATAGAAACAAAATAAATATTATTTTTTCCCATTTTGGAGAAAATAAAATATTTACCCCCTTACATAAGAAAAATGTTGAGAAAACCCTGAAAAACGAGGTGTAAGTGTATTTTAACAATGCTCATTAATCTAACCGGCCATGACCGCTATATATTCTTCTAGCTGTTAAAACAATTGAAGGTATATATTTCCCTGTTTTAGCACATATCGTCTGTATTTAAAATGACATAATTATCTGAAAAAAATAGTATTAATTAGCAGCAACTGATAAATGTTTAAAATTGTTAAATGTCGTTCTTTAAAATCCACATCCAATTGCTCAATCTTGCAGCAATCATTTTGTTTCTGCGACAATGTCGCACTGTCGCTCGTTGTTCTGATTTGGGGAACAGGCCTTCCTTATTTTTTGTCCTACATTGCCAATTCACGAACTCCGATAAAGAATCCAGCTGCAACATTTCATCATAATCGGTCCATGCATGGTCCATCGCGTTCTCTTACTGCTGGACATGAAGCCATCGAGCGAGCGAGCGACGGAAGATTGGGAGACAGCATAACAGTCTCGTTTAAAACTCGTCGTGCATTAGAATTTAATAGCTCAAACCTCGGATGGACGGAATTTTCCCCTACATACGGTATATACATACAGGGTGACAATTTGAAAACTTACCACCCCCCATATCTTAGTAAATAAACGAGATATTAAAAAAAATCAAAATCCGTTTCGGTAATTCGAAGGAGGAATCACAATGACATAGTTGGCGACGCACCCCCTTCAACCCCCTGCGCCCCAGCCACCCCAACTTTTAAATCTTAATAGTGACCCCCCATGTGTGATATGTCGTTGGAAAGCTCTGAAAAAATGCTTTCCAACCATACCGGATTTTGATTTTTTTAAATATCTTGTTTATTTACTAAGATGTGGGGGGTGGTAAGTTTTCAAATTGTCACCCTGTATATGACTTCCCCAATCGAGTACAATAAAAATTGATTTACTTCGATGATCCTGGAGGGGCCTGCGAATCGCCCACGTTCATAAACTTTCCATTTACCCCAATGATATCGACATGTTTCCACAACTACGTTGGAAACTGGCAATTGCTTCTGTTCTACATCTACGTCGCAAGCAATAACAAACAATTGCACTTGTGAAATCAATACGAATTTTTTTCCCAGTTTCAATACGTGGCGCAATCTCTAATAGACCTAGGTAAAATAAAAGCAACCGAGAGGCTTGTCTAGTTTGACTACCATGGATTATTTTTTCCTAAAGTTTTAAAGTGAAAAACGATTTTGTTTGTGATGCACCTTGGGAACTTCAAAAGACTGTGAAAAACGTACAATTGCTTCTCTCTGCATAAGTGCTTTAGTCGACTAGAACGCAACAATCGATGTTTCTAAATCTGGGACACTCGAGAGCTTTTACACGTCGCGTATTGTACCTACGCTGTAAAAATTTGAATATCAAAATCTTAAGGTGCGCATCCACCGACGCTCGCGATCACTTGATACCATGTTCGAAAGATCGCGAGCGCCGGTGGATACGCATCTTAAAGGCAACATAATTCGCTTATCGTTTGCAAAATTCTCCCACAACACAAACATATCCCATTAGGCAAAAATCAAATGTGCGCATGCGCAGATTGAGCGATGCCACTTTCGTACTTATGGACATATTTTTTTGAGATGTTAAAAAACCAAGCGTATAGTACAACCAACGTATAATGAAAATCGGCTATGCATTAAAGTTACTCGCCTTAGGCTAGGCGCACACTTGAGATTTTCTTTCGCATTAGATTAAATTTAATGACTCTCGTACACCAAATCAATCGATGAGCAGTTTTCTAAAGAAAACTGTGCAGAAGCATCAATTTTGATGGCCTAAGATACAGTCCCGCCCGAAAGACAACGGGGGCCACATATTGAGATATGCGTTTGGAAATTTTCCCAGCGAAATTGATGCATGTATAAATAACGATTTTGGCATCATTCGCGAACACTACACATAGTCCGATATCTTTCAGAGTAAACGATGTTGGAAAAATCAATAATACGAATTTAATGCCGAAAGTTTCTTTGTCGCGATCTCGAGCAATTGATAAAAGGCGTCTAACTATATAGATAGTGGAATTCTTTACTACTACTACTTGGCTAGATATCTAAATTTAGACTGTAAATAAAAACATCGATTAAATTGCATTGCAAGTGTTGTTAACCTGTAATGGGAAAAACGTAAACGTAAAATAAGTGCTCGCGTGACTAGGAGTATCGACTTCGAAAATAATAATTTGGCCGTCTAAACTCGGTGCGGTTGATTACACGTTCGAGTTGCTGTTAAATTATATATACCAATAAGAATTGGATTATGGTATTCATGCGATGTGAAAACATAGTCCAAAGTTTGGGGGGAACTCGAGTAATTGTTAGTGTTTTTAAATCACTCAAAATTCCCCTCCCCTCAGTTTGTACGCAATTACTTAAAAATTTACAGGGTGTAACAGTTACGGGGACTCTATCTCCAAATGTCCTAAAATGTTCGTTTCTTTTGTAATTATTTTCACAGTAACCTTAAAAGATACATAGATGAAAACGGCTTAACGTCATCGTTTTTAGCGCATTTCCACAAAAATAAAAAAAAATGCGCTATTGTGGCCACTTTGTCCGTCCGTCCGCTCGTTTTGCGACGCTACTAGTTCTTTATCTTAAGAGCTATTGTTCTACTTTTTTCGCTATTTGTTTCGTTATGGTGTCGAGTCTTGTACCAAGGAAGGAATTTTTTCTGTACCGCTTACAAAAAAAGTTATTGTAAAAAAAAACAAAAAACTGTTTTTTACATGTTCCATAATTTTACACTTTTGCCGTTTATTAACGATCCTAGAGATCGTTTATAATTTTGCATTGCTATCTGTCGCCTGCTGGTTGGTCTGTCCGTCTATTCCTTTGTCTGTCTGTCCCTCTATCTGTCTGTGTGAACGATAATTTTGTTTAGAAATGTCCGATCGCTTTTAGATCTCCGTTAGTTATGAACTGAATTGCATGAAATTCAATATGGGCATAGCCGAGGGCATAGCTTTAGCCATATAATACGCAATGCCAAAAGTTGAATCGAATCCATTCAAAATTCACAGTGCCCTTTTCGCCGAGGGGGTAACCACTTACGGAAAATTTGTGACACGATTGCGAAAATAAGGGATTTCGATAGATTGCGGAAAGTTTCATGCGATTGCGGCGATTGCGGAGAGATTGCGGCGATTTCAAGAGCTTTGTAGCGATTTCTTGAGATTTCTATACCACATTTTTGCGATTTCTGAACATGTATACATGTCAAAAATAATGTTTTGATTTATGTAAGATTAAAAATTAAACAAAAACATTATCGTTAATAGCAACACAGTTTTGAAGAGATTATTTTCTTTTTTATTTGAAAAGAACAAGTTAACAATACATCACGCTTACAATTTACAGAAAGTCTTTTAATAGTTTTTGAGAGATTTTAAATTCCTTCTCAATCTGTATTTTTTGGTGCCGTTGTAAAATAAAAGGTTCATTGCCCAATAATGATATGGGGCCATAAAAAATAAATTTATTTTCGACAATTTGTATATCTTCATCTTTGTCTTTCGGCCAAACATATGAATCTAAAACACATTTTAAAAATTTAATTTGACATGTATCATCGTTAAATATTTCTAGTACTCTGCCAATATACCATGATCTAAGATAACACACGGCGTAATAGTTTTCTGCGCTTATATCAATTTTTGTGTTTATTGGCGTTGTATCGTCGGTGGCATCTTCCTCGCCAAAGCTTTCATTTTCTAACTCACTCTTTTCTGAATATCTATCGCTTTCCTCGTCTGTCTCTGCTTCGCTAATAGCGATTCTCTTTTTCTTTCGTTTTGTTGAAGTACTCTTTGTTTGTTTTTTTTTATTTAAACTGCTAGATGCAGTGCTTCCACGAAATCGAAGCAAACGATCGCTAGAAAGACGGTTTGTCTTGATTGAAAATAACCAGCAAAGTGTTGACTTCTTTACTACCACCTCCTTTCCATTTACTTTAATCTTGAGCATATTACGAGGCAATGTTTGATTGCTTTTATTGTATTTGGCACTGAAATCTTGAATATTTAGATCACCAAGATCTTCAGGTTCCTCAAAGATACCTCTTTCTTCATCAATATCGTCTCTATCTTCAACTTTTTCTTCATTTAATAATAATCTTGGTAAAATTTGTCGCGCAAATTCTTCTAATTTTGTAATATCGTTTTCTACAAGTAAGCTTAGCGTTTCATAACTTGCGTAACCATTATATGCTAACAAATCACTAAGATAAGTTGGAAAAGTATTTTCCATCCCCAATTCTTGTAGAATCGTAAAAATTTTGAGTTTATTTTCGTCTACTCGTTGCATTTTCTAAAAAAGGAAATAAGCAATAATTTAAGTTATTATCAATTGTTGTATAGGTGCGTGCAATGTTATGAATTTATTTTATATATTATAATTAAAAATTAATTTAGTTAATATTGAAATTATTTTTAATTATTTAAACGAACTAATAAATTGAGGAGTGTTTAGCAAAAACAGCGTTTGTCCAAAAATAAAAAAAAAATCAGGAGATTAAAAAAACAGCCTAAGTGATTATAGAGCGGATGTTTTAAAAAGCTAATTTTACAAGTTGGTGTAGTTTGTGCAGACAAACATATTTTTTGTGATATCAGCTGAAATTTTGGCCAACTTTTTGAAAGAAAAAAGAAAAATCCATGGATATATGCGGTTTTTGGGGGAAAAAAAGTATGTCATTTTTGCAAGAATCAACCATATTTTAAATGGCTATATCTTGGCAGCTATGATGTTTTTGTGGGATTTCATTACATGTATCGATGACAATCACTTTCCAGCTCACCGTAGCGCGATAAACTCATTTTCCGTAAATTTGGACTTATGCTGTTTTTGCTAAACACTCCTCAATTGTAAATATGTGTTATTAAACTTACCGTTCTTTGCAAAACAAATCACTCGTAAATGTTCCACTCCACTGTAAGTTAGTTATCTAATAACAACAATAACAACGTAATTATTAAAACACACTGTAAAATAAGATCTGGAATAAAACAAAAAAACGTGTTGTCGTGTCGTGTGGCCGTTGACGCCTTACGTTAATAGCGAGGTTAATAGTTAATCGCGACTTTACCGGAAACGACACGACCGAGAAACCGACAAGTTGCCGATTTAGAATAATCACGTGTTCGCCAGATGATATATTTTGACGAGTTTTAAAAGATTTCGGTGATTTCGAAAGGATTTCGACGATTTCGAAAGGATTTCGACGATTTCGAAAGGATTTCGACGATTTCGAGGGATTGCTGCGATTGCGAAAAGATTTCTTAGCGATTTCGGGGATTGCGAGGGGATTTGTGACACGATTTCGGGAAGTGGTTACCCCGTTAATGCCTGAGATAAATTTTCCATAGAGTGGCTTTGTATTATGATATGTTTGAATATTACTCCACCAAAGGTAGGCGCCAAAATGGTACATTTTTTTAAATAGAACCCCTGTATTTGAATGGCATTTTTGAATTCTACGTAATTGTACGTCTTTCTTATTTATATGATTAAAATTCCGAAAAACTAGAAGTTTTAAAGAAATTCGATTTGCTAAGAAAAATTGGGCATTTGCAAGCGTCAGTATATATTGTCAAAATTAGTAACTTAATTTTGATTCCAGGTTTATATCATTTATCCTAGGTTAAGGTAAAAGTCAAATAAATAATCTTACTATGAAACATTAAAAAAAGTTTACAGGGTGTTTTTTTGCAAAACTCATATTAAAAATCTCACTTTTTTAAGATGGGAACTCTCCTGTATATTTTTCTGTCATCTTTTAGCTCTGCCAAAAACTTTCAACTTTGGTAATAATGTCCTATATACCTATATCTGATAGTTTTCGAAATATCTTTGGTTTCCTGGTTTTATATCCTAACCTTAAATAAGTTAGTATGTATTTAAATAATAACGAGGTGGGCCATCAAAAAAAGCAATTTTTATCTGATCATCGAAAGCTAAAAGGCTTACTATTTAATCTTTTTCGAATAATTCCTGCGAATAATTCATTTAAGTCTAAAAACTGGAGAATAAATTTGATAGTAAAAAACATAAACAAATATCTTGGCTTTCCGTAGTTTTATATTTTAATCTTGAAATATTCTAATTTACATAAATAACCAGGGTGGAATATTGAAAAAAAATTGAAATTAATATCACTGACTGGATGACATTAGGGGTAAATTAAATTTGCTTTGTAGCAAATGTTTACTTATTTCTCCAGTTTTGACTTAAATTAAATTTTTTGAAAAAAAAATAAATTAATCCATATGATTTTCGTTGTTGGACGAGATAGATCAAAATTGCCTTTTTTTGCATGGCCACCTCACTATAATTGAAAATTACTCGTACCTTATTAAGATAGAATATAAAAACCAGATAAAACCCAAGATATTCGAAAACTATCATATACAGGGTGATTCCTATAGTGACCTGCCACCGTTTGGAGAAGCGTGTAGGTGGTGCGTATGGGGAGTATTTTGTATAGACACTTGGGGTCGGAAATCTAAATAAGGGCCAGAGCCAAATTTACCTTCTGAATTTCGCGCTGTAGTAGGACAACCCAAGCCGGCCGGCGTGCACACGGAGCGAATCTCAGGCGGCGATGTGTGGCTACACGTTGATCAGAATTTTTGTTTAAACCCACGAAATCCGTGCTGCAACGGCGCGGTATCAAGTGAATAAACACTATGGCAATAGTATAATAATAGTTTGGCTGATGTAGGAAGTGCATTGAGAAAACAACGGTGGCCACGTTGAACAGTTTATTTGCTTTTTGACTGTCGTTTTCCCTCCTCCCTCCCATTCGCTTCCTCGGCGCTAACTCGCTTCTGCACGCTCCGCGCGAAACTCGGCGGTTGGTTGCTACGATACAGGCGTGAAATTCCAGAAGATAAATTTGTTGGCGCCCTTATTTTAATTTCCGACCCCAAGTGTCGCTGATATCAAAATACTCCCCTAGGCACCCCATATACGCTCCCAAACCGGTGGTGGCAGGTAACTATAAGGAATCACCCTGTAGGTATAGGGACATTATTACCAAAAGTTGGAAAGTTTTGGAAGAGCTAAAAGATTGACAGAAAAATATTACAGGGTGTCCCATTAAAAAAATGAATATATTTCAATATGAAGTTTCAACTTGGGCCTACAAAAAAAACACCCTGTAAACTATTTTTAATTTCATAGTAGAAGTATCTTATTTGACTTTTACTTAACCAGGATAAAAGATTAAAACCTGGAATCAAAATTTAAGTAATAATTTTGACAATATACTGACGCTTGCAAATGCCCAATTTTTTTACAAATCGATTATTTTAAAACTACTAGGTTTTCGCGATATGAACCATATAATAAAAAGACGTACAATTACACGTAGAATTCAAAAATTCATTCAAAATAGCGGTTTATTTTAAAAAAAATTTACCATTTTGGGCCCCACGTAATGAGGCGCACCTGTATAATTCCAAATATTTTTAAAATGTGAAGAATATTTAACCCGAGGGT